TCAGTTCGTACAAACAGTTTGTATAGACTAACATGCACCTTGTTCAGTTCGTACAGAAGGTTTGTACAGACTAACTGAACACAATTTTTTTTCTCCAAAAATAACTTGAAAGTTTAAGGGTTTCACACGTAAGTCAGAAAGATCATTGTTGGAGGGAAATAAAGGTCATATTAGACCATAGTCAGAAGGTGATAGTAGTCGGAGGGAATCGTAGTCAGTGGGCAATGAAGGTTGGATTGGACCATAGTCTGGTGACAGTGGTAAGACGGACCATAGTTGGCAGTTGATGGTAGTTAGAGAGGATCGTAGTCGGTGGGCAATAGAGGTCGGATTAGGCTGTAGTCTGGTGATAGTGGTCGGAATGATCGTACTTAGCAGACGATAGAGGTTAGAAAGAGCATAGTCTGAAGGGTTAAAGTTCGGTAACAATCAGTGGCCAGGCAGTGGTCGAGGTTTAGCTTGGTGGTGAGAGATATCTCAGAATTCTCTTCCTCTCCTCTCTTCTTTCCATCTTCATTTATAATTTTTTGAGACAGGCATGACAAGCAAATAAGAAGAAGAGCAAGGGCATGCTGGGAGTATTTTGGATGGACGGTTGATATAGACTCTCTTGATCATAGAACATTTATCGAGTATTTAAGTGTCTTAATGATATCAGAGTTCAGAGATCTTGAGCTAGTTGGATTTGTCTCGTCGAGCCGCTCAATTCGACTATAAGCATGTAACATTTGGAAATCATTTAGTTGTTCAATTTATGATTTAAACCTTATAAATATATTTCAGGTCTTTGATTTGGACTCATTTGGGGTCATATTAGATCAAATTAGGTGTGTTTGGGTTCGTCTCATCTTTTTGAGATGTTTAATTCGATTATAAGTTTGTAGAAATCGGAGTTCAAATGACTCTGAATTTAATTTCGAAAGTTTCAACCATAATTTGTCTTGACATTTGTTCCCGATTAAATTTTGTTGGATTATATATAACAGACATACTTTTATTGATTATATTTAACACCCCAAATAACATCTAATCCATTTTTCTTCTGATTATTGTTGTGTTATGGAGTATTCGCGATGGTAGAGAAATATATAATTTAACGTCTTAGCATTGTACGAAGATCCAGCACACAATCAGATAAGAGAGAGGGTGAAGTGTTCATAAGAGACACCAGAGTTTTTACGTGGAAAACCCTTAAAAAGAGGGAAAAACCACGGGGTCTGGCCCAATTTGAATGAATCCACTAGTATTTATTGTCGATTACAATTGAGGCCCTTCCTTAGGAGAAGGCCTTGGATTGATGTCATAAATATACATCATATATAGCACATTACATGGTGGGAGTTACATTTGTTTGGTCTGCAGGATCATAGTCGATAACTTGGAGTCCGGAGAGACCGTTGTCTGGTGATGGAGGTCGAAAGGATCGTAGTCGGCATGAGACCAAGGTCAGAAAGACCATTGTCTAGTGATGGAGGTTAGAAGGACCGTTGTCTGCAGGAGACCAAGGTCAGAAAGAATATTGTTTGGTGATGGAGGTTGGCAGTATTCTGGGAGAACTCTGGGCATCAAGTGGTGGCCTAGTGGAGCTCAAGGCCTCAAGTAGTGGTCCGGCGGAAGTCCGGGCCTCAGGTGATGTTCTGGTGGAAGTCTGGGCCTCCGGTGGTGGCCTAGTAGATCACATGGCCTTAAGTGGTGGTCCGAAAGAAGTATGGGCCTCAGGTGGTGGTCCAGCGGAGCAACGGCGTCAGGCGGTGGTCCGGCGGGGGTGAGGGCCTCAAGTGGTGGTCCGGCGGAGCAGCGGCGTCAGACGGTCGTCCGGCGGAGGTGAGGGCCTCAAGTGGTGGTCTGGCGGAGCAACGACTTCAGGAAGTGGTCCGGCGGAGGTGAGGGCCTCAAGTGGTGGTCCGGCGACGGTCCGGCGGTGGTCCAGCGAAACTCTAGTGGTGGTCGAGGAGGAGCTTCTTCTTTCTCTTTTGCTCCCCCCC